TGCTTAAAATATGTTCTGGATAGGAATTAATTGATTCGTGTAGATATGAATTTATATCAAATATTTGGACTCAAATTACCGATGTGGTTTTGAACGATTTTGGCCAAATCAAACACGCAGCAAGTTGATAAAACGATGAGGTTATTTTTAACTAGTATCAAGAGAACAACAGTTTTTTGTGTTTTTTTTTGTGTTTTTTTTTTCTTTGATATTGCGCATCAGTGGAGTGGGAACCCATTTTCATGGGATCCCAGACATCAACACCAAAGGAAGCCACAAAGGTTGCTAGTGAAACTACTGATTAGTATATTTAATACTATATAAACAAATCAATGAGCCAGAACAAATTTGTGAAATCTTCAATTTTAATTGACAGTCAATTAACCGTCTCCAACCAGAGGCTTTCGCTTACTTCTCACCGCTTCGCGGCTCGTAAAAACTACTCGCCGCTTCGCGGCTAGTAAAAACATAGAGAAGAAAAGAGTAAGCAAAGCCTCTGGGACCAGGGTAAAGGTGTCTAAGAAGAAAGGTCATGATTTGAGACTAGCTCGATCAAGTTATACTTTCAAAAGAAAAGAATCAGTCTAACGTTGTGGCAAGAGAATTAATTCGCCTGAGGGAGAGTTTAAGGTCTTGAGCAAAGCAAACCGGCTGGCAAGAAGTCTGAAAAGAAATGTGGCACTGATATCTCATGTTGCTATAGTAACGAGAGAGGTTAGAGAATACAAAAATTCAGTCATTCAGAAGAAACAAGCGAATTTATTCTTCTTCTCAGGCACTCAGAGGTGTACAAAAATCAAACTAAATATGCTGAAAGGTTTACAATCAAAATACTTGTAGACCTCTCAAAATTCTTTACAAAAGCTTTTAACCGGATTTCCGAGCCCCATCTCTTCAATAGACTTGTATCTTCTACCAGGCTTCAAAATAGCAGATGCGCCCTTGTAGGTTACTTCAGCAAAAGCTCCCCATCGACCAGCCTTCTCCGGTTCAATGATAGACGAACATCCCATCGGAAGCTCCTTTGTTAAGTCGCTGGAGCCCTCACTGCGTTCCTGTAGTGATATTTGAACAGAAGTCTTAGTGTCAAAGTGTGTTACTGGCCCACTTGGGCACAATTTGGGTTTTTGTTGTGGTTGTTGTTTTTTTTTCTTTTAAGTTTACATCCGGGAATGCTTTGGTTTTTCTTTATTCAATCTTTGATTGGTCCAGAAACCTCATGCTCGCGTTCTCCTGCGCTTAAAATAATTTCCATGTAATCAATAATTTAAATTAAGAATTATTTTATTAATAATTTACAAGTAATCAATAACTTAAATTAAGAATTATTTTATTAATAATTTACATGTAATCAATAACTTGAATTAAGAATTATTTTATTAATAATTTACATGAGATCAATAGTTTAAATTAAGAATTATTTTATTAATAATTTACATGTAATTTACAGGTAAGGTGAGTTCCCGTTGGTTCTTAGTCATGATTAAGTTACCTTTGTTCTCAGCGGCCATTGCCATCACTCTCTTTCGGTTTAACGACACTCGATCAGTTAAAAGAGTGCTTAAAAACCGGAAAAATTGAGATTTTCTTATTTTGGCACCGAAAAGAAGTTACCAGGCAACAAGGAAATGGAAAAGTTTTACGCCTAAATTGGGTAGATGAGGAAGATTCTCGTCTTAGGTACTCTCCTAGCACAGCACAGACACCATGAACGGATGTAAGAAATCATAGTCTTATGAGTATTTAAGTGGAGCACGTGACTGTCTTTACTCATGTGATACAATCCTTTAGGTGAGCGTTACGAGTAGAGGTATGAAGCTGGTAAATGGATTGCAGGCCTGGGAAAGAAGAAGTTTTCAAAGGAATGCGCTCGATCATGTTTTTCATGTTTCTATTTGATACGTGTGTTACAGGAATTTAATTGGGAAATGTGGGACGCACTCACTTCAGAAATCCGTAAATATTGTCACGAGGATTACTTTCCCAGGGCCAACAGTTTAACAATTGATAGCAAAATACAGCAATTAAACTGACAAGATCATACCACGTAGTTTCCACCGAAGTCTTCAAGTTCAAAGATTCTCAACTTGTCAGGTTCCTGTGCCATTTTTTGCAGAAAGCAGAACTGAAAGCTTTGCGAGACAGAACGCAAAGAATCAATACGATCACTGATTTTAAATTCTTCTATGCTCTGTTTGCCCCTTGTGTCAATCTCCGTCTTCTTACTCAAGGAAAGCTGTAAAATGAGACCTGTGAAAAGGAACTTGGGGAGAAAATGGACAAATTCTTCCGCTATGACTCCGAGCTAAATCCTCAGTGAGTTCTTCAAAAGTCAACACTCCTTCGATATCATTACAGGAATTGAAAAATACTTCTCGGGCGAAGACAAAAATT